TTTTTTTTTTTTTTTTTTTTTTAATTTAGAAGTTTTTAAACTGGAACATTATAATTACAATTTTGGAAACCTTTCAAGATTATCACATTTAGTTTATACATGTGCAAGAAAGCTTTATGTCTTGTCTCTTTCTGACAGCTGTAGCAGATTTCATATTTTGGTCATAGTTTCAACATTTTAACATGTGAATTATAGGGTTTCATGCTGGTTTCCAGGTTTTATTGGTTGACTATGTACAATGGAACTTTAAGTCATATATACATACATACATATATATATATATATATAATTCTAAGGGGGGAAATGTTATATTTTTCTGTTTCTATAAGAGATGAATACAGTGGATAATTTTCTATTGGTGATGATTGAGTTCACCTCTTTCACGAGACATTTTCTTTCTCTTCTGAGTAATTCACATAAAATCTGGCCCTGTGAAACCCTGGAAATCTAAGTCTGTTGTAATACCAGGTTAAACACATTCCAAGAGATCTGTTCAAACTAGAATTCTTTTGTATACTTCAGAGGTGCCTGATAAAAGACTTCATTATTTATGAGAAAATGTGCTTTATCTTGGGAATTGTGTTCACACATCAGCTGACTGTTCTCCTGAGTGAATGCTTATGAAGCTGACACGAGCCCATCTCAGAAGAACCAGGCAGGTTCCTTAAACTTTTGCTTGCTTTTCTGAACATTGTGAATATTACACATTTCTTTCTAAATTATTCTAGAGTATGCAAATGTCAATGGTATGAAACACCACTGTACTGGAAGAATTAATATATTACTTTAGTAATGTACCTGAGCTAAAATGACTGAAGCTTTAGGGGGTGCATAGAAACCACCATAATTTGTATGACATTTTGAAGTGAATTAATATTTTTGAACATGCTTCTTCGACAGCCAGTGTTATATTTTTCAGATCAACACAAAGCACAATGATTACTCTAAACTCAATATTTTCAAATTCACATATTTAAAGTCATGCAAGCTGCAACTTCCCTGTCAAAATTACTGGCTGCCAAATTTATACCTGTTTCTTCAGCTGTACCTTTTGATATTTAGAATTTTTAAATTTCTGTAAAGTAGATTTTGTAGAGTGTAATGTGTTCACTGCCTTTGTGAAGCGGTATATAATTGTATAATTTCTGTGTGTAAACTGAATGCTTGGGCTTTCAATACAGTATTCATATGAAGCAATAAATATTCATGTTATGAAATACTCGAGTACATTTTTATCAAAATACAAAAGAATCCCTTTTTTTAGTTTCAGATATCTGAAGTACATAGATGAACTTATAAAAAACATGCAAACAATTTCTCACACTGTATCATATGCTTTGGGTGATTTGGAGGGAAACCACAAGTTTTGCATTTTGACTACTTAAATTGCTATGACTAAAAATTACCCAAATGATTGGACGCCACGTATGTTTGTAGGGTATATACTACTGACTGACTTGACAGGTTCACAAGCAGCTCGATGATATATTTATGAATATGTCTGATAGTTAAAAACTGAATATTGATTTACTGTAACAAGAGGGGGGAATCAAACGTTGTAAATTTTTAAAATTTTTTGCGATGATGTTAAAATGAAGCAATTTTAAATGTGACTTTCATTCATAGTGACCTGTTACTTTATTTTGTTGAGGGATATTTTGCCAATGAGAACAGATTTTAAACATTTTAAGTTTAGAAATTTAGGAATTTTCTTTAGAATATTTATGAAATTATTGTCAATAAACCTATTCTTTAATCTCCTGTGACCTTTTGATATGTTTTATTTTAATTATAGTGCCATGGACCACTTGTAAACAAATCTTTACTTTTGTCCGTTATAAGTTGAAGATTTAGCATCATGACTTTGAGGTCTGTGGTTTTATTTGTAAACTTGCAATTGCTATTTTTGCAAGGGCAAATGTATTTCTTTATTAAATAAAGTACAATAATGGTGAATGTACCAAAATGACATCACTTAACTCTATGAGGGATCTGCATTTTAATCTATAGTTTTAATTGTTTTAATATTTATTAGATGTTCACATGTCGATCATAGATCAAAATTGTTGCTGTTTATACAGATAACTGTGGAATGCTGATGGAGTATCTTCTTTAGGATGGGTGGAATACTTCTGTCATTGAATTGGGAACCTAGTTGAGCTGGCTTTAGATATTGGTGGCCATTGGGAAGTAAATCTCCACACATGTGCAGATGTGCACTTTGATGACTGCACATCTCCACACATGTGCAGATGTGCACTTTGATGACTGCACCAGAGAACGTCAGGCCTGAAGGCAGCGGGCTGACTGGTGCCCCGTTCAAAAGGATGGTTTTTCAGCTCGTTTCCTTAACACATGGAACAGAGCGCTATCAGGAAGTTGAAATGGAGAAGGAAGGCTTGAGTGATTAAAGGTATTTTATTTTTTGACCTTAAACAGATTGTTTACCTGTTGCTCTAGTCTTTGAACCCAACGTGTAAAAATAATTTGGAGATGCTAAGGAGGAAAGAGAATATAAATATAATGTGTCTTTATCACTCTTCCCTTTTAAAAAGTGAAAACAAAAATTCTCTTACATTTTTTTTGGAAAATATATCTTTTTAGTTCCAGAAATATAGCAGAACAGAAATTAGTGAAAATGTTATATTTTAAATGTTGATTATTAGGTAGATTTAATCCACTTAGTACTTATCCACATCTACACCTTTCAGGAGTGTAGCCTGAGTGATGGAGTTGCCCATCAGGGAGTAAGAAGCATTTGGTGTGCAAAGGCCTCCCAAAGTACGGGGCTGGACGGCGTGGCCTGTTAAGCATTGAGGTTCAGAGTATTTTATTTTGCTGGTGTAGATAGGCATGTATTTATGCATTTGTAAAATCAGCAACTTTTCAAATAATGTAAATGTAATATACTAGTTCACTTATAAAGGTACTTGGGCAGAATCTAAAGCTGCTGCAATGTTTGATTTGTGAAAAAATGTAACATGGTAAGGATGAAAATGTAACTTGCAGAACCAAAGGAAATAAACATTTGGGTAGTGCTTCAGATTGTCTTCTGAGCAGGAGTTTTTTAAATGCATTGATTTTGATAAAACAAAGGTCAGTTCTCCGGAGATTTGTGCTACTCATAAAATGGATGAATGGAAAAACACCTTGTAATTTCATATGGAATTATTAAAATTAGGTTTACTGGGTTATTGGCCTCGTAAGGATGCTAGTATGTTTTGGTTAGAATACATCTTTCACATTTAAGAAATAATCAGTACACTTCAGAATTTTATTTCAACTTGGAGCCTAGATTACTTTGCCAAATAAATGTATTATTTTCGTAATGCAATAAAATATAAATTAGAAGACTACCTTCCTGTGTGGAATGACTTTTTTTACTGGTTCACCCTGCCCACCCCTGGCCCACCTTAGATAGTCGAGGATCAAGAGCATTTTCTGATCTCTGAAGAGAAGCTTGATATGTAACTGTTACAGTCCGGCTGCTTAAGTGATCTTGGCGTGTTCAGTAGGGAGATGGAGCAGAGTTGATTGGAAAGTCGTGGGCTTTTTCCTGACATTTTAAGCCTGATTATCTGACCAAGTCCAGATTTATCCATGTGGGATTTCTGCTGGCTGATTGTCACAAGGCATGCCCAGCTCTCCTGAGTCCCACTTTGAGTCCTGTGTGTGGGGAAGGAGGTGTGGTACTTGGAGAGGTGAGTTGGTTGACTTGCAGCTCCATTCTTTGTTCCTATCCCTGGGTGGCAGGCAGGGAGCTTCTTCATATTTGATCTCTAACATCCCCCACTGAATTTTATTTGCTTAAGATGAGTTTGTGGGAAGACTGATTTTTTCCCCACTGACCAATACTTAGATTTCTGACTACTTTGCTGTCTAATGAGCATATTTCTGTTCCTTCTAGCAGTTATCGAGCAACAGATTTGAGTTTAAATGTATGACCTTTGAGTCTATTTGTAACCTTCCTAAAGACTGCAATTTTGAAACTTAAAAATGCGCAAAAATGCCAGCAATCCTGTTTCCTCAGTCTGCAAACTCCACGGGTTAGCTCATTTTGCAACATTACAGCTCAGTTTGGTGCTTGGCCAATGGGTGAGTCAAAAGCAACTGGGCTAGGAGGACCCTGACTGATTCCTTAATTTTACTAGTCCTGTGTCTACTTTTTCTATGTTGAAGGTACTGAGTTCATCCCTAAACGTTTCTGAGATGCTAGGTTCGTGGAGTTGAGAGCAGTACACACTACTAGACTTGCTTAGAGATCATTATGCAGTTGGACTGTGTTACCAAGTATGAGCACCCCATCAAAGATGTCTGTGAATATCAGACCAGCTACCCCTGACCTATGAAAAGCATAGCATGGCTCTCTGCTGGAGGGTAGGTGCTTCTGCAAGTGGGAGGTGGTGTTATTAGGCCACCCAAGTCCTGCCTTAGAGGTTGTTATGGGACTTGGTCTTGGATCAATAATATATGTATTAAGAAATTGTGGCTCAGTGGTAGAGCACTTGCCTAGCGTGTGTGAGGCACTGGGTTCAGTCCTCAGCACCACATAAGAAATAAATGAATAAAATGAAAGTATTGTGTCCATCTACAATTAAAAATTTTTAAAAAACAAAATTGTGGGCCAGGCATAGTGGTGCATCCCTGTAATCCCTGACACTTGTTAGGCTGAGGCAGAAGGATCACACGTTCAAAGTCAGTTTCAGCAACTTGGCAAGACTCGGTCTCAAAAAAAGGCCGGCGGCGGGGGGGGGGGGGGGGGTGCGGGATATGGCTCAGTGGTTAAGCACCCTGGCTTCAATCCCTAGTACCAAAAAAAGAAAGAATTGCCACAGATGG